ACAAATATGTTTAGAATATGGAATTATTCATCAAACAACGGCCCCTTACACGCCCCAATCCAATGGGATTGCAGAAAGAAAGAATCGTTCATTAAAGGAGATGATGAACGCATTATTGATAAGTTCTGGTTTGCCACAGAACTTGTGGGGGGAAGCCATTCTTACGGCTAGCCGAATACTAAATCGAGTACCCCATAGCAAAACACAATCTATTCCATATGAAAAATGGAAAGGAAGGAAGCCCAACTTGAATTATTTTAAAGTGTGGGGGTGTTTGGCAAAAGTGCAAGTTCCTAAACCCAAAAGGGTAAAAATAGGACCGAAAACCGTTGATTGTGTTTTCATAGGATATGCGACTAATAGTAAAGCATATCGATTTCTGGTTCATAAATCAGAAAATTCCGACATTCATAATAATACGGTTATAGAATCAGATAATGCTGAGTTCTTTGAAAATATATATCCGTATAAACAGGAATGCGAGTCGATTGGTGAAGGATCTAAACGACCCCGGGAAGAAACAAAAGAAAGTACACTTAACCAGCAGGATCCAAGACGTAGTAAACGTCAAAGAAGCTATGTCTTCTTCGGAATCATTGTTATGGAAAGAGGCGGTCAATAGTGAAATAGAATCCATACTGAACAACCATACATGGGAATTGGTTGATCTTCCTCCTGGAAATAAACCGTTGGGTTCTAAATGGATCTTTAAGAGGAAAATGAAAGATGATGGCACTATTGACAAGTATAAGGCAAGACTTGTGGTCAAAGGGTATAGACAACGAGAAGGTCTTGACTATTTTGATACATACTCTCCAGTTACAAGAATTACATCCATACGAACGTTAGTAGCGTTAGCTGCAGTTTATGGTCTTGAAATTCATCAAATGGATGTTAAGACGGCCTTCTTAAATGGAGAGTTGGAGGAAGAAATTTACATGGAACAACCTGAAGGGTTTGTGGTTCCAGGTAAAGAAAAGAAGGTCTGTAGACTTGTTAAGTCCCTTTACGGATTAAAACAAGCACCCAAACAATGGCATGCTAAATTTGACCAAACAATGTTGTCAAATGGATTTAAGATAAATGAATGTGATAAATGTGTGTACATTAAAAATGTTCCAAATCACATAGTCATTGTTTGCTTATATGTGGATGATATGCTCATAATGAGTAATGACATTGCCAACATAAATGCTACTAAGCGTATGCTAACTAGCAAGTTTGATATGAAAGACTTGGGAGTTGCTGATTTAATTCTGGGAATTAAGATCCATAAGACTTCTCAAGGTCTAGCATTGTCACAATCTCATTATATTAAGACAGTACTTGAAAAATTCAAGCACTTGGGCTTTAAAGTTGCAAAGACTCCAATTGATGTGAATCTTGCATTAGCAAAGAACAAAGGCCAGAGCATATCACAATTGGATTATGCTCGTGTGTTGGGTTGCTTAATGTACATCATGAATTGTACACGACCAGATATAGCTTGTGCTATAAGTAAATTGAGTCGATATACGAGCAATCCAGGCCAATCTCATTGGATGGCCATGAAACGAGTTTTGGGGTATTTAGTACATACCCAGGACTTTGCTTTGCACTACAATAAATATCCTGCGGTCATTGAGGGATACTGTGATGCAAATTGGATCACCGGATCAACTGATTCCAAGTCCACAAGTGGATATGTATTCACTATTGGTGGAGGAGCGGTATCTTGGAAGTCATCCAAACAAACTTGTATTGCCCGCTCTACAATGGAGGCTGAGTTCATAGCCTTGGATAAAGCCGGTGAAGAAGCTGAATGGCTCCGGAATTTCTTGGAAGATATTCCATTTTGGCCCAAACCGTTGGCACCAATATGCATACATTGTGATAGTCAAGCGGCAATTGGAAGGGCTGGGAGCGTTATGTATAACGGTAAGTCTCGCCATATACGACGAAGACATAAAACCGTTAGACAATTACTCTCTAGAGGAATTATCACGATTGACTATGTAAAGTCAAGTGATAATGTGTCGGATCCACTTACAAAAGGCCTAACTAGAGAGGTAGTTGAGAAGTCATCAAAGGGAATGGGACTGTGGCCGAGAACAAGTCATAGTGGCGGTAACTCTACCTAGAAGACTGGAGATCCCAAGATCTAGGTTCAAGGAGATCAAACAAAGTCATTTATGACGGTTCAACATTGTCAACTAAACTTTTGGTCCATTCTCGTGATGAGACAATGTTCAGTACCAAGGATAAAGCATTAAGGCTTTTTAATGATTTCTAAATTTGATACAGGGTATATCAAATAGTGTATCTACGGGATGACACGTTTAGGAATCACCTATGTAAGTGTGAAGTGTTAGCCGCTTCAAGGAGAACACAGCAAGGCCAGTTCTCTACGCACTTATGAAACCAGGCGGTGTTCATGGCTGAAACGAACACAACAATGAGAACCAAAGACGGTTAAGGGTTGGTTGTGTGACTTGTGGTTGTCTAGGTATACACTAAAGTTCGACGGTTCAAAGATATCAAATCTACCGATTGATCGAGTATATCCGACATAAGTTCACTACGGAAAGTTCAAAGGGAAACCTACTTATCCAGATGCAATTAATCCTTACTTGTGAATCACACAGTTTTTCATGCATACTTCCGTGATATGGCCATTCCCCATTCATGCGGGGGATTGTTGGGTTTTTAAGGTATTTAATTAATATATTAAATACTTAAAAGAAGGTGAATGGGAAATGGAGGGAAATGAAATTTTTGAGTGAAATTTTAAGTTCCCCCTCCCTTGGCAAATGGGCATTGTCCCATATTGGAAGAGGAAGAGGTTTTTTATGGGTATATAAGCAATTGCTCTTCTTCTAGCTCTTAAAGAGTTGAGAAGAAGGCAAGCCTCGCGCCGTCGTCGTCGTCGCTCGCTCGGCTCGGCTTCGGCTTCGGCTACGGCTACGGCTACGGATTCGGATTCGGATTCGGATTCGGATTTGGATTTGGTCAAATGATCGATTGATTGATTAACTTTTTGGACCAAATTTATTTGTTAATAGTAAAATATTAACAGAAATGTTATTAAATATTTGTTTTAATAACAAAATATTAATATTAAATATTAATATTAAATCCAATCCGTTTTTCTGTTTTGGTAACAGAAAAGTAACTACCCTCTTAAATTTTCCCTCTTTATTTTCCCTCTTTATTATTGAGTAAATGGCCATTTATGTAATGGCATTTATGCTGTGGGCGTTTTGCATAAACAACCATTCTGAAGAGTTGCACCTCTTCAGATTTCAGCCTAACTTTGGCTATAAATACAACACTATTCTGCTCAGAATTTCACTACGATTTTCTGAGTTTCTTCTCCTTCTTCTGCATACTTTTAGCATCAAACAAAGCAAAAAGTAAGTGTGATTTGCTACCGAACTTTGTGTTCGCTGAAACACTGGGGTTTGAAGTACCACTACACCAGTGTGTAATTCGTTCTATCCTGGGAGGAAATAATCCATAACCTTGGGTACTAGGAGGGGATTAAATTCCTTAAGGAAACACTGTGAATTCAGTGGGCTCGAATTGGTTTTATGTCATTTCTGTTTATGTTCATTTCTGTTTATACTCATTTATATTTCCAGAATTATTTTACAAATACAGTTTATTAACACATATTAAGAGGTTAATTCCTAGGTTACAAAAAGTATGCTCAGTAGTGAAGCTGAAATCCTACAAGGGTAGGTCGTAGTTTTTAATCCCGTGAGCTGGAAGTTTTCCACGTAATACTCCACAGTATTATTTACTTACTGCAATGTGCGTGTGTTTTGTGGAAACTAATAAAGAACCTGATTCTCTATATAGTTCGATGGACCCTCAGTTTCTATCGAACTTCAAACTCACGAATTTAAAATTTCAAAATTTGAAGTTGGCCTTGCAGTCCTCACACGTATATTGAAGTTTGAAGTACCAATTTCTAAAGTTTCATACAAATATGTTCGAAACTGAGAGAAATTTATATAGCGGTGAATATAAAGGAAAATAAAGGCAAAAGAAAAAGGGTAAAAGAGGAAGAGGAAATTAACAACAAGATAAACGGGGCAAAACGGCGTAAATAAGTAGAGAACAAGGGTCAGTATTGGTGGGTTTCAAACAACAGGCAAATGCTACACCGCTTTCCTTAGCAGAAACAACACGTGTTTGACATGCGCCTTCCTTTAATTTACTTTTTTTTTGTTTAATCAATTTAATTTTGAATTCCTGTTCAAAAGAAAGTTTGTCTCTGAAACAAAACAAACTAACAAATAAATAATATATGAAAAGTTTAAAAAGAGAAAAAAAAAAAAAGAGCAAGTGGAGATTTTTTCTGTTTTCTCCATTGATGTCCGGTACTTATATTACAATAACGATGATAATAATAATAATAAAGACATTATAATCTTACAAATGAGGAAAGAGGGATGCAATCAGTGGCTGAGTCACATAGCATCAATGGGTGTTAACCGACACTCCTTTACCGAAATATTATATTATTTAGATAGTTAAAAATTACTTTTTGTATATGTATACTATATATTGAATTCCCTAAGCTTCTTCCTAATTTTACTTCTTTTAAATTTTGACACTTTTAAGTAAAAATTCTAATTCTGCTACTTGATATAAAACGACGAGTTTCTAAACGTCACCCATTATGATACTATTTTCGCCCGAGCACACTTAACTTTCGAATTCTGATGAGATCCAATGTGTTAGTACTGATATAATGATATCCGATTAAATTTATACTGAAAAATTCTATGTTGAGAGGAAAATATTTCCCCATAAAAATGACTTCATACTAAAATCTATGATAAAAATACAAGAATAAAGATAAAAAAATTTAAAAATAAAAAAATATTGAAAACTTTGTTGGTAGCAAGTGGAGAATAATTAACCTTTGGAAAGAGCAAAGAGCACGCCTTTAAATAAATAATAAAGTAGTCGTAATTAAATATATCACAACACCTCCATATATTCCTCGTGCTTAACCCATCAACTACCCGACCCTACCACGTCTTGTTCCGTGTTTGATTTAAACAGTCATATATATACATGTGCTCTTAACCCATATATTTCATTCAACTTTACTTAGCAGAAGAAGAAGAAGAATATTTAGTCTTTTTTGACAGAAAAAGCAAAATATTTACAAATGGCATCATCGGAGATTGTGGATTCCGGTAAATTTTCCGCCGGCGGCGGTCAGAAATCACATTTTTCACAGACATGTAATTTGTTGAGCCAATACTTGAAAGAGAAGAAAGGTTCCTTTGGAGATCTCAGCCTTGGTATCCACCGCGCCGGTAAGCTTTTTTCTCTAATTTTGCCTTTTGATTATAGATATTTTTGTAGTTATTTGAATGGAACTAACATATCTGCTTTTTTCAACAGGCACTACTACTATGGATTTATTCCCAATGATTGAGAAATCTGGTGAGTCAAACCCTCAGAAACCAATGAATCTGTTTCCTCAAACTGAAGCAAAATCTGAATCGGAGAAAGCACAGATGACGATATTCTACGGCGGTCAAGTTATTGTATTTAATGATTTTCCGGCAGATAAAGCTAAGGAAATCATGCTTATGGCTAGTTGTGCCAAAGGAAACAACAACAGTACTACTCAGATTCAAAAAACAGCTGAATCTGCTTTAGATTTGGTACCTCAGCCTATTATTTCTGGAGATTTACCAATTGCGAGACGAGCTTCACTTACTAGGTTTTTAGAGAAAAGAAAAGATAGGCTGATTGCTAAAGCACCGTACCAATTAAGCAACACAAATAAACAAGCAGCAGTTTCTGAAAACAAGGCGTGGCTTGGATTGGGTGCTCAATTTCCAGTGAAAGCTGAGCAATTCTAGTACTCTACTTAATTGTTTTGGTTTTTATTACTTGTTATTAGGCTAAATATATTACTACTACTACTTAATCCTTTATTTAAACAAAAAAAACTTATTAGATCTGACTACTCTGGATTCATTACTAGTATTAATAGATTTTTGTATTGAAACCAGAGATGGTTATTCAGTGCCCTTTTGTGTAGGTATTCAATTCGTCTAAGGCTTAAGTTTTTACTTCCTATTGTGTACTGCAAATGGAATCTTTATCACAAGAGCAATTTCTATGTTTATATTGTACTAGTTTTAGTGTACGTATGTTGCACGTATCTGTAGTGTCTATCAATTAAAAATACATACATTAACGTTAAAATAAAATACAATATTTGTTTAAATGATAAAAATAATTTTTTGCATAGTAATTATATTAAATACCTTTTGAATATGTACAGATAATAAATTTAGTTAAATTAGTTATATATTATTATGTAATTATACATATCTTATAATATAATTACAAATATGCTAAATTGTATCTCACCTAATATCTCTTTATGAATACAATTTGGCTTCTAGTAATTCGTCCTTATTTCTTTAAATTTGCACTTAACCAATTTAATTCGTAATACTATAATTAAATTTTATTTTATATTCTAATTTCTTGTATCGCCGATGGTCTTTTTCTGAAAAATAATTTATGTACTCTAAGATCTGTTTAAACTTGAAAAATATTTTTACCTTGATGAATTTGGAAAGGAATAAAATTTGATTATTTTTCTAGTTAGTTAATCAAATCTAGGGAAAAAAGGCCAATTCAAATACTTAATTATCTTTTAATCAATAATAGAATTAATTTATTTTTTGAGGATTTAAACTACTAATATTAGCTCATATAATAAAATAAATATTTAATTATGACCATAATTTTATCCACAAAATTCTTTTGTCAAATGATAATGAATCGGACTTTTGCACTTTATGTTTGTCATTGCGTTAGTAAATGACTTTTGTCAGTCACTTTTCTCTCTCTTTCTCTTGCTATTATGAAATATTTCATAATTATTTTTTCTACTAATGTTTTAAAATCTATACTAATATTTATATTTAAGCAACTTATTGATCGAAGAATAAAACTAATAGCCAATGGATCAATCGCATAGAATACTCATAGCATTTATAGGTTATATTTTCATTTGAATAAAGGACAAAGCAAATTACTTCCTCTATTTTTATTTTATTTTTTTACATCATAATTGTTCACCTAATATTTAGCATGATTATATAATTATTTGGGATAAAAACGTTCAATTGTTAAAATTCATATATAAGGTAAAAATATAAATATTTTGTGTTATTTAATTATAGTTTAATTTTACATTCATATAAGATAAAACTTTAATAATTTTAAAGTCCTAGATATAAGGACCTCTTACTTAATTCAAATAAGGAAAGATATAATAAGTAATAGATCTTATTTAATTTCAAACTCCTAAATATTAGCTAGAAGATAATCAAATGATTATTTTGTCTAGTGTGAACTCTATTTTAAAGGGGTAAAAAAGGCGAACGACATTTCGTTAAGGACTTTCGTGCTTTTAATATAGTATAGATTATACCATTTACTTTTTCTCTATTTCCTCCTAATGTATTATTCTTTCTTTATGGTTTTGTTGATTGGAGTTTCAATTCTATGTATCCAAAAAAATATTTACATGATCATGTTATTTTTAGGTAAATACTAGTAATATTTCTATAAGAATTAATTGATAATTTGGTAAAATGGTAACTAATCTGCTATAAGTGATAGTGTAAATTTTGTTATTTTTTTAAAGATTTATAGGTAAAACTGATAGTCTTGCAAAATGAACAGAGAGAAAATGAAAAAATATGAGCCAAATCGGCAATAGAAGTTCTTTCATGTTTTGCCTCGTCTTCTCCGCTAAATGCCCTTTACTTTTCACTACCTATCTATTTTGAGAAGAAGATATTTTTATTTTTATTTTTTAAAGATAATAACAAGCTTTATGTCGGCCAAACATAGATGTACATTTAAATCTTTATTATAAATGACGTTGATTATAATTTAAGATAACATGAAATGCGATATTTTTTAATTGTTATAATAGAAGATAGCATGAAATACGTATCCAAAAAACTTGAGCATCATAAAAAAATGTTAGTACAATTTAAAGAATGACTATTATAAAGATATTTAATTCTAATAATTACCAACAAAGGTTGTGATGGGGTGGTAAGTACTCCTTCACCCTTAACTAGAGGTTTCAGGTTCGAGCCCTTGGGTATGGAGTCGCCTTTTGTTAGGGAACGCTTTACCCCCAATGTGGGACTTTTCGGCGCGAATCTGGATGTAATCGATCTCCAGTGTGAATACTGGATACCCGGTGGGAAACCAAAAAGAAAAAAAAAAAAAAACTCTAATAATTGAAAATCTTGCAACCTTAAATCTAACCCACTAACGTAACAAATCTTCTTTAAATGGACCCATCCCTCCAACCTCTCCCAAACACGTTTTACCTTAGGAAAATTAAAGTAAAGCGATAAAGAAAACACAAAAGTAATAAACGAGAAATAGATAAAGAGTATCTTCACCGGTAGTCAGGATTTGAAAATTATGGGTTTGAAATTTCAATCATTCTAAGTCTCTGGGTTCTAAAATAATAATGGATACATATCAATAAATTTTAAAAAACAAATACAAAATTTAAATTAAAACTATTGAATTTAAATTAAAACATATCAATAAAGTATTTAACGTGCTAGCTCCGCCCCTGCCACCAATGGTGATGGTGATTCGCCTAAAGAATAATAGGGCACGCGGTTTCGAAAATTACAAAGGAAAAGGAGTCCATAAATAAATGCTGAAAAGCAAAATAAAAAAGGAAAACGTATAAACAAAGTTGTTTTCTGTAGAACTACACCAAGGTCCTTTTTCTTTCTTTCTTTCTCACTTTAGCAAAATAAAGCTAGTTCAAAATATTTATTATTTTATAAAAATAAGAAAGCATAATTATTTTTGTTAATGACCTATTCAAATTCATGATTCAATATCTACATCAAAACAATGAATGTAAAGCATATGTTTTGCATGCACTTATTTATCACTTAATCATATTGATACGGTTAAATTGCTTGATGTGATGTAAATATTAATATAGTTAAGTGTTTATCATTACTTTTTTCCATTTCACACTTAGAAATCTAAGAAGGCATATCTTTGCTTATTCATTCAAAGAAGAAATATGAATAATCTAGTAAAGAATCTTTTATTATTAATATTATCAAATTATTTTCTTAATAGGTTTGTCAAAACTTAATATATAGGAAGAATAAATTTAAGAACTTGTTAAAGGATGATCACCTCATTTTAAAGTTTAAGTTGTTAGAGCGAACATATATAGTTTTAGTTACTTTTTTTTTTATACGCCCTTCGCGTTCAGGCCTAATTCTTTTCCATGTGGCAAGCACATCAAATTTCCTTTTTGATAGGTAATTATGGAGTAGTTTACCTTAGGGTTTGACATGATTTGGTGACTTGGTTATTGTTTATGAATTTGAATATTGTTTAATTGCTTGAATTCATTAGAGGAGCTTTAATATAGTTGTGATTTTATTCTTTATAGTGTTTAATCAAAAGAGGAACATCTTATTGAATATCATTGCAGCGTATGCCTTAGTTTACTTTGGTGATTCTTTGAAGTAATCGAGAGTTTTAGAGTTACCGTTTAAATTAAGATTGAGAAATATTCGAGAAGTTTCTCTTAGATCAGTCCTACCAATATATTCTTGCAAGTTTCACCGCACCTCACATTAGTTAATTTGAAAGATTTAGATTTAATCGATAGAGGAATCTGAATCGGAAGTATAAACTAATCACCTATTGAATTCCTGAGAATCAATAGAACCTCAAGAGTGAAATATAACAGTATCATATCTAGAATAACAATCTTGCACCTATCATGTCAAAACCCTTATTTCTCCCATTGATAAGAAACTAACTTTGTTAATCTCTAATTCTTTGCAGGCAAATGTCAATTGCTTTACTTTAGTTGTTAATCGTAGATCGTAATCATTCCAAATCAATTTGATCATCCTGAATAGCAGTTAAATCAGAAATAACTAGAGCATTATTTAAATCAAATCCCTGTGCAGACGATAATTTAATTATACTATCTTTGACTAGTGAGTTTCAATTTCCTGTTGTGTTTTGCGCTCGTCAACAGGTAAGGTGAGACTCGAACCTAAAATCTCTGTTCATTCTGACACTACACTAAATATATAATCATCTTATTTAAAAATTTAAACGGAAAATTGATACTCCAAACTTTAGGTCGGCGTGGACATGCATCTTTGCCTAGAAATAATAGTAAGCATTAATGTAGATCTAGTCATCTAGAAATAAAGTTTGAAAATACAGCCAGAGAAGACTTTATAATTGTCACGTTGTTCACACTTCCACCAAAAAGTCTTCTACCACTAAACAAAAAGAGTTGGTAATTACAAGAAGACACAAGAAAAAGGCATGTTTTTTTTTTTATATAAGAGGTAATAATGTATTGGTGGGGGAGTTTTGACCATTTCTTAATACTACTTTTAATTTTAGTGGGATCACATGGTATGTTATGAAGATAGTGGTTGGGAGAAAAAAGAAGAAAAATATTAGTGGTTAAATCAATAAGGTCTCGTGTTTAATTTCCAGCGAAGACAAGAAATAATAGGTGATTCTTCACATGTGTTCAAACCTTAATGAATAAAGTTATTTGTTATGCTGGTGAAAGATAACAGATATCTCGTGAAATTAGTCGTGATATACACAAGCAGAACCAAACAACAAAATTATTATATATATATATATATATATATATATATATATATATATATATATATATATATATATAAAAGGTGCATTGGTTAGGCATCAAGTTTTTATCATTAGAGCCATTTTTAATTGTTTGTTGACCCATTCTTTTATCTCTTTATCTATTTTGTTGTTTTATTTGTCTTTATCTTTTCCATGCCTCACCCATGTGACCACACATCGTTGTGTATGTATTCACGTGGAGTGGGGTTGCCTTTCGATTGAAAGCATCTTACTCTTTGTAACGTACGTACACGTATGTATAAGCTTGAGTTTATTATATACACTTAACACTACTTTTACAACTTAATCAATTATAATAAGTTATACTTTATTTACTAAGTTATTATAGTAATTTTGATACAAAAAATCAACTATTGTTATAAGTAAACTCAATTTTGATACGGAGAAGGGTCAAAAATGTTCCTGAACTATTGAAAAAGGTCTAAAAATACCCTCCATCCACCTAATGGGCTAAAAATACCTCTTCATCTACTTTTTTGATTCACTTATGCCCTTTAACCGTTAGGTCAATGCTGATTTAAAAAATAACTATTTAAATTTCATGTGGCAACTTCTTATTGGTCGAATTAAAACATCTAACCTATTAGAATGACCCACCCATATCTACCCATTTTTCGGACTAACCCGCCCCAAATACTAATCTGACCCGGATAAAAAGTTCAAATAAAAATATGTTGAGCTATGTATTTATGTGTTGTAATTAGTTAGTATACAGTGGTTGGTGAGTCCCCACTTGGCTTAGCTGTCACTTAGCTACAATGTGATTGGTTGTTAGTTGTTAGTCATAAAAATGTATATACATTAGGCTTGTATATTGTATTGACACATTATTCATTTTCACATAATACAAAAAATGTTTTCTCTCAGTTTCTTTCTCTCTAGATGAAGCTTCTAGATTTTTCCCCATTGGAGCTCTAGCTCGAGCTCGATCTCCGGCTGCATTTGTAGCTCAACATGGTATCAGAGCCTAGCATCTCTCTCTTCTATCTTCTCGTCATCTCCAGTAAGATCAATTAAGCCCTTTTCCCCCATTTTTCATTCGTTGAGTTTTTGCCCTAGAAAATCGTTTATCTTCAATTGTCCGATCTATCATCTCTTTCTTCGATTTTTTGATTCAATCCTCATCGAATCAAGTCCTATCCCATGGCTATCACTGATTCGAGTACTGAATCCAATGGTTCCCCATCGGTCCTCGAGGTCGAGTCTGGTGTCGATGCTAGTAGTCCTCTCTACATGCATCCTTCAGATAATCCCGGCGCGATGTTAGTTCCAGTTCCTTTCGGTGGTTTAGGTTACAGATCGTGGAGAAGGAGTGTTATGCGAGCCCTATCTGTCAAAAACAAATTAGGTTTTATCAATGGCGAATGCAAGCGACCAGATCCACTGAAAGAGCCTTTGAAATTTCGATTGTGGGAACGATGTGACGATATGGTTACATCATGGATCCTCAATTCTCTTGCCAAGGACATTGCTGACAGTGTTGAATATGCAAATGATGCAGTCGAGTTGTGGAAAGAGTTGGAGGATCGCTACGATTTGACCAACGGAACCAAACTATATCAAATTCAGAAGGAAATTAATGACCTTTCTCAAGGAGCTTTGGACATCACAGGCTATTACACTAAAATGAAGAAGTTGTGGGAGGAACTGAGTACACTAAGTGCCAAAACACAGTGTACCTGTCAATGCACGTGTGGTGCTAAGGAAAATATGCATAAAGCTGAACAAGACAGACGTTTGATTCAGTTTTTGATGGGCCTGAATGAAGTATACACAACTGTGCGAGGCAGCATTCTTATGCTAAACCCCTTGCCTTCTATGGCACAAGCATTCTCCCTACTAGTTCAAGAAGAGAAGCAGAGGGAAGTTAAGCCAAGCAATTATGTGATGATAGACTCTTCGTCTTTAAATGTTAATGTTCCAAGGAGTAATATCAGAAATGGCCAACAATATGCAGATTCTACCTCGTTCAATGTTGATACATCGAGGAACAACAACTTTAGAACCAACTATTCTCCCAACAATTACTCTCCCAATGTCACCAGACCACGTCCCTTTTGTGACTATTGTAAGCGCCCAGGCCATACTAAAGAAAAGTGTTATAAGCTACATGGATACCCCCAGGGGTTGAACTCAAATCCAAATCCCAAATTTAACAGAGGAAAGAGAACTGTGGCCAATGTACATGGTGCACTTGAAGACAACTCTGGTAAACAAGAAGAAGTGGAATCTCTGGAAGGCAAATGTAACTCCAGTGTCAATTTGACCAAAGAACAATATGGGCAACTGGTTTCCCTGCTGCAGCATTTTCATTCTGGAAATAACAAAGAGACCTCCAGCATCTCTAATGGAGCTGTGAATTTTGCAGGTACGATGGCTTGCTCTGCTTCTGTTCTCTCCATTGATTATAGCTTATTATCATGTAAATGTTTTACATCAAGTAGTGATATATGGATCCTAGACTCAGGAGCTTCCAACCACATGACTTTCAGTAAGTCCCTCTTGTCTGACACTATAATTTTACCATATCCCTTGCTAATTAACCTACCAAATGGTTATCGAGTAAAAGTGACTAAAATTGGGACTGTTACACTTGCACCTGAGATCATCTTGCACAAAGTTTTTTATGTTCCTTCTTTCAAATACAATTTGATTTCTATTCATTGTCTAACTTCCCAACTCAAAAGTTTAGTGGCTTTCTCTGATTCTTTATGTCTTCTACAGGCCCCTTCAATGAAGAGGCCTCTGGAGATTGGTAAGGTCGAGGATGGACTATACCTTCTTTGCTCAAGCTGCTTGAGGCATTCTTGTTCTGTTGCATCCACTGCCAATTGTTCATTCCCACTTCATGCTTTACCTGCTTCACATGATGTAAATAGGTCACATTCTTCTTATCATTCACCTGTAAATGTACCCACATGCAATAAAAATCAGAGTTCAGTCTTACATTCTTCCATGTCTAATAATATTGATGCAGATTTATTGTGGCACAATAGGCTGGGCCATGTACCTTTTGTTAAAATGAGGAGTATTTCTTCAATACCAATTCAGTTCTCACCTAAGCAACCATTCCTCTGTCCTATATGCCCCATGGCAAGGCAGACTAGATTACCTTTCCCTCAAAGAACCAGTATCACCACCAAAGCCTTTGACCTTCTTCATATGGACCTATGGGGACCTTACCAACTGACAACTCAAAATATATTTTAAATACTTCCTCACATATGTATGATGATTATAGCAGGTCCACTTGGAACCTTATCTCTAAGTTGTAAAAGCAATGCTTTACAAACATAAAAGCCTTTTGTTGTCTCTCATTTAAACTCAATTTCAAACCAAAATGAAGTGCGTAAGGTCATGATAATGGCCTAATGAGTTCCACTAAGTAATGAGCACGCTCAATTTTTCCAATCCAAAGGGTACTAATACAGCAGAAAACATGTCCTTACACATGCCCCAACAAAATGGTGTGGTAGAAAGAAAGCATAAATGACTCTTCTGAGACTGCTAGAGCCCTCTTATTTCAGTCCAAGCTCCCTTTCCAATACGGGGTGAATGTTCTAACTGCCACTTGTATCATCAATAGACTTCCCACAACTATCTTAAAAATAAATGTCCTTCATGAAATTGCTGTTTCACAAAAATCTACTACTCCACTTTAGGAGTTTTGGATGCTTATGTTTCCCTAACTACTCCCCATTCCTCATTAGGGAAAATTTGAACCAAGAACACCCCCATGTATTTGTAGGATACCCTATGAGACAAAAGGTTACAAGGTTCTCAGCTCAACTACCAAGCAAATCCACATTTCAGAAAATGTAATTTTTCATGAGAATATTTTTCCCTTTAATACCTTGCCTAACTAATCTGATTTTTTTCTGTTCCTAATTCTGCCCGCTTTCATTGATGAATTGCCCTATCTTTTAAATCAACACCTCCTAATGTTTTTGCATGATGGTCAAAGGTCCTGCAAGTGTTACTCTGATACTTTGTCAATAGTAGTTCTCCAATCTCTATATCAACCAATCATCCTTCTCTGCAAGTCTTCACTATTTCTCAACATCCTTCTCATCAACATCCTGTTATACTGATTTAGGCATTAGGAAATCAACTAGACAACATAGCTTACCTACCCATTTGAAAGACTACATTTTGCTCTATTCCCAATATTTAAAACCTCTCTAACTCTCACACTGGCTGATACTAGCACTGGCACCTTCTCTTCTTTGATGCGCTGTTTACATGTAATCATTAGGTTCTCTTATTCTTTTGATCATTGATAGTCAACTACTATAGCAAAAATGTTAGTACTGATAATGAGTCTATCTTCATTATGAAAGAGGCAGCCTTAAATCCAGCTGGCAGGCTAGCCATGACCCTTGAATTTGATGGCCCTATAGCTGCCTAATAATACTTGAATTTG